ATGCACGCTGTCAAGGATAAGGCAGGCTGTGCACAATCCTGTTATCCTATGCACGCTGTCAAGGATAAGGCAGGCTGTGCACAATCCTGTTATCCTATGCACGCTGTCAAGGATAAGGCAGGCTGTGCGCAATCCTGTTATCCTATGCACGCTGTCAAGGATAAGGCAGGCTGTGCGCAATCCTGTTATCCTATGCACGCTGTCAAGGATAAGGCAGGCTGTGTGCAATCCTGTTATCCTATGCACGCTGTCAAGGATAAGGCAGGCTGTGCGCAATCCTGTTCATTTTGACGCCAGCGCCCTGATTGTCAGGAGTTTTTTCGGACAAGTTCTAAATTTCAGTTTTTTAAGTTTTGTTGGCCGGTAAAAATTTATTCTGGCGGTAGGTACTTCCTTATTGTAATATACACAGGAAAAAATGAACATTTAATATTCGCCCAGAAATCTACGAATTTACTAGCGATATTGAATTAAGGGCCACTTTTGGCCTTTTTTCCATCAGACTTGGCCGTTTTTTGCCATCTGTCAACCATGGTCAACACAGCCCTTACCTTTTAATTAATTTTATTTTAGTTTCATTTGTTATTTCTTTCTTTAATTTGATGTAAATTAATAATTATTTAACTTTCTTAATTAATTATTATTGGTTATTTGCAGATCCTAACTTCAAGGGCGGTTCCGACTACGGCCCGGGCGGCAGAAAAGCTCAGAGCTCATCCATCTGTGTCCTGCTCTGAGTAACTAGTGGCTAGTTTAACTAGTGACTAGTGTAACTAGTAGCTAGTGTAACTAGTGGCTAGTGTAACTAGTGGTTAGTGTAACTAGTGGCTAGTGTAACTAGTGGCTAGTGTAACTAGTGACTAGTGTAACTAGACTAGTGTAACTAGTGACTAGTGTAACTAGTGACTAGTGTAACTAGTGACTAGTGTAACTAGTGACTAGTGTAACTATTGACTAGTGTAACTAGTGACTAGTGTAACTAGTGGCTAGTGTAACTAGTGACTGGTGTAACTATTGGCTAGTGCGATTGTAAGTAGTGGCTAGTGTGACTGTATTGCGCCGGGGTAAGCAGTAGCACACTAGTTTGACTAGTAGGACGTCTGCTTTCACTAGTAGAACACTAGCTTCAAATTATACCTAGTGGAACATCGATTCTAACTAGTGGAACGTTGGTTCCAACTAGTGGAGTACTGATTCTAACTTGTGGAACATTTACTCAACCTAGTGAAATGTTATTCTTTCTAGTGACTGTGTTCTACTTTGTATTATTTTGTTATTAATTCTGGAACTAGTATATTTTTACCTGTAACTAGTATGTAACTAGTGGAAGTAGTAACAAGTGAATTTTTTTCCCTAAAAGTTTTTCAGGCCCCTCACGATTTCACGGTGTGTCGTGGGAGATGGCTTCTCTGCTACTGGATGTCACTAATGCTGCAGTGGTGTCACTATGTCAAGTTGTCACTAGTTTCAAGTTGTCACTAGTTCCAAGTTGTCACTATTTCCAAGTTGTCACTAGTTCCAAGTTGTCACTAGTTCCAAGTTGTCACTGGTGTCAAGTTGTTACTAGTTCCAAGTTGTCACTAGTTCCAAGTTGTCACTGGTGTCAAGTTGTCACTAGTTTCAAGCTGTAATTAGTTATAAATTGTCACAAATAGCAAGTTGTCACCAGTTGAAAGTTGTCACTAGTTCCAAGTTTTTACTAGTGTAAAGTTGTAACTAGTTCCAAGTTGTCAAGAGTTCCAAGTTGTCACTAGTTGCAAGTTGTTACTAGTTCCCAGTTGCCACTAGTTCCAAGTGGTCACTAGGTCCAAGTTATCACTAGTTCCAAGTTGTTACTAGTTCCAAGTTGTCACTAGTACCAAGTTGTCACTAGTAGCAAGTTGTCACTAGTAGCAAGTTGTCACTAGTAGCAAGTTGTCACTAGTAGCAAGTTGTCACTAGTAACAAGTTGTCACTAGTAGCAAGTTGTCACTAGTGTCAAGTTGTCACTAGTACCAAGTTGTCACTAGTACCAAGTTGCCACTAGTTCCGAGTTGTCCTAACTTTCATGCTGTCACTAGTACCAAATTGCCGCTAGTACCAAGTTGTCACTAGTATCAAGTTGTCACTAGTATCAAGTTGTCACTTGTTCCAAGTTTTCGCTAGTTCCAAGCTGTCACTAGTTCCAAGTTTTCGCTAGTTCCGAGCTGTCACTAGTTCCAAGTTTTCACTAGTTCCAAGTCGTTACTTGTGTAAAATATTCACAAGTGTCAAGCTGTAACTAGAGTCAGCTGCCTATTCGACTAATAGCTATGTTTTGACCCTAGCTAGAAAGTACTCTGTTATCTATATATATTTTGACTATTAGCGCTTTGAGTGAACTTAGTTGCGCTGCCTGATCTTCTACTAGTAAAGCCCACTACTACTACAAATTCTCCTAGTAAAGCCGCTACCATACCAACCACTACTTACTTAACTTCTTAAGTTAAGAATTGCTTGCTTCTAGTTGCCTTATTGGGGCAGTAACTACGATATTTGGATTAGTTTTAGGAATTCAGAACGGCTAGTTATTGCTGTGTTAGTGTTATCACAGAAGTAACTACTAATGGCGCAATCTCTGTGAGAGTTAACTCGATTGTGATACAACTAGTACTGGGATAAAACTAGTGGCGTTACTAAGGTAACTCGCTAGTGACGCAACTCGGAGATATTAATAATATTTTAATTTGAGGTGTAACGTATGCCCCTGAAATTTATTTTATAGCTACACTAATAATATAACTGGGTCCAACGTGTGGCTAGCGAGCAGTTTACTTCTAGAAAACGCTTGTCTAGACTAGAAAGCCACGAATTTCTGGTGAGTCATCTTGACCCACTATCTATCATGAAGTGATTTTCTTCACTTGGGCTAATTTGGCTATGGAAAGGCTAAAGTGAGCCAAATGACACACTGAGATATCTTACTCGATTGTTCGAGTGCTTTGAATAACATTAACATTGCAAATAAGTTATTTTTGTTACTAACGTAACTTTGTAACCTATGTCACGTGTGACTATTATAAATCTGCCATTAACGTAAATTGATAAGTAATGCCCTAACAAAGTTTGGATGCGGGTCTGATTCTGAAATAGGTGCCGGCTAGGGATCGGGGAGCACGTAAATCAGGACTCATTTCCGCTTCGGTTCTGGGTTTGAAGGGCAGCCTCTGGTCAGCTTGCAAGTTCGGTATAATTCGGCTCGGCCAACTCTAGTCGGGAGCGCAGCCGTGCACCACCAATTTTGTACACCAATAAGCCCTGAATCGAACGCCTTGGATCTCTCCAGACCTCACCAATCAGCCGTGCACCACTCGGCTTTTTCCTTTTCCGGCCTTGACCACAATCTGCCGTGCGCCACCAGGCCGGGGATCGAATATGACTTCCGGGCATAGTTAAATTACGTAATTTTTACGATCACCGCATCTGAGGTTAGGTTTCAGATAGCATAGATCTGTTCAAAAATTTATCGTCCTTCGACAAGAGCCGTTCGACCGAGGGCTGGTTCGACCCACGGCCTAGATACGGACGGCATGAAGTGTTGAAGGCTATGTTCCGGAAGGCAGGAATCATGATGTTCCATTACATCCAGGGCAGTGGTGGTCTTCGGCAGGCGACCCACTCTTGCCATACTCTCAGGCGACTATAAAGTCGGAAAGAAGATTCAGACCAGAAGCTGATGTCGTTCGAGCGGCCAAGCAAACCCAGAATAAATTAGCGCCGAGTGTAGGGACTTCTCGTTAGAATCCTAGCCGAACCCCGAATTTTGTTAGCGTGTAATCAATCAATCCACACTGGCAAAGTCAATTCAGAAACACTCTCTTGTGATATAACGCGCGATATTAACTGTATATTATATAATAACTTACAATGCTACGGAAACTTCTACCTACAATTTATACTTTTTATTCCAATTAAAAATTCTATAAATCTAACAGTCCCTAATACTTTAGTGCTGATCATTTGCTGATAGTGAACAGATTATTGGACGATAAAAACCTAAATCATGGCATATATATCATTATTGATTATTTACATACATAGAAATAAATATTTAAATATTTTTTACTAATGTGCAAGTTTCCCACGATGTATTTTAAACGCCTTAACTCAGATTAAGTGTGTTCAGGATTTTCTTTGGATCCTTCTATTTAATAGAAATTTATTGATTTCTTGATTTTTCATCGTATTTGAATATATTTCATCGTGTTACGACAGTTTCATCCAGTGTTTATTGGAAGTTTTTTATGGTCTTAATGTGTCTCATTAAAGCCTATATGTAATCATTTCTATGGTCCTTATAAGTCTCATTAAAGGCATATAATTGGTAATTTTAATGGCCCCTATATTATGTCTCAATAAACCCCTGAGGGTTTTCTTCTTTTATGGCCCATATATAAGCGTGCACGATTAAAATAAATATTTATGAAGACGAGCGTCGTTTTAAACCTCGAAGCTACAATTCAATTTTACTATACAGTATATCATTAGGCGCCTTTAAACGTCTAATTTTTTTGCGCAAGTTTTGAAAATATACAAATTCTATATGCAGTTTTATAGCTCCAATTTTTTTCGCAAGTAGTCAATAGTTTCGGCGGGAGTAAATGTCTCATATCTCATACAATTGTTTATCTCATATATTATCTGATATTATTGCTCGATTATTCGTATTCATATCTACCCCTGTATCTATTTATCACATTTTTCTGTATATATTTATATATATTTACTCATTTAGTTACATTGCAGGGGTAATAAGAAACGGTTACTTTCTTTGGTTAAATGCAGTTTCACAGTTTACCAAAGAGTTTTTTATTGACATTTTATGACGACTTTGCAGCGGTTAAACGTACATGATAGCATGTTCGTGGCCAGGCCTTATGACGGGATGGGATCAACCAGTGCCAGTTGTCTTTTTTTCGGACACATTCCGCAATTTAGCTTTTTTATTCAATTGCTTTGGCGGTCAAAATTTATGACAGCAGTGCTTCGTAACTGTATTTTATGAAGTACAAAATGAAGGAAAATTTCATATATGCACCGTGGCTTACAAATTTTCTGGTAAATGTTAAATTGTGGACATTTTTGGCAGTTTTTATTCATGGATTTGGCCGCATTTCCGGCCATCTGGCTACCCTGGTTGGGTGGGGGGTGTGCAGCCAGGGACCAAAAATTTAACTCATTAACAAGCCCTATCACCAACACTCACTCTCATAATGCAATATCTATACTCAGCCTCACACCCAAGAAGCTGTAGGTAACTGAGTCATCTCACCACACCAACTTTAAGTCACAGCTGCCTCACTCCACAGCCGGCTGCATCAAATAGTTAATTGTCAACAGGTCCTACTCCGCAGAATTTTATCACATACTATCACTTTTCACAGGGGCCGGAAGCGTTACTGTCCGCAAATCATGCCGGATCACCGTAAACCAACTCTGCCTCTTGTAAGACTGGCGTAATCGCGCTCTACTTCACAGGCAAAAGTGCATCTGGCCCAACCTATTCCGCCATGCCCCGTCCCTTAATTTACTCCCCCTTCCGTAGTCAGAAGGCTTTTCTCGGTGTCCGATCAGTGGTGCGCCAGGCGCAATATGGGAAAGCTGTTCTCCGCCTGGCGCACCACTGATCGGACACCGAGGAAAGCCTTCTGGCAACGAAAGGGGGAGGGAATTAAGGGACGGGGCATGGCGGAATAGGTTGGGTCAGATGCGCTTCTGCCTGTGGAGTAGAGCGCGATGAAGTAAAGGCTGTGATGT